TCATAACCTCATTATTTGCTATTTTTTCAGCTTCATCATAAGGAGCAAAAATTACTTGTGAAAATATAGCTTCAAAGGTTTTCCTTTTCTCATCTTTATCTGTGATTTTTTCAACATCAAAAACTATCGCTTGTCCTGCCTTTGTCAATGTTTCATCGCTTAATTGGGTTACTTCATTGATAAACTCATTTAGTATGGCAGGCTCATCCTCAATGATAAATTCCTTGGGGAAAATTTTAAAACTTATTTCAGTTTTTGTAACAATCATTGAACTAATTTCCATTTTCTTATGATGATTATAATATTTTTCTAAATCATCTTTAAGCTCGTAAAATCTTTTTTTTGATAAGCAAATTGTTTTTAAAAATGATTGAAATTTTTTATGCCCTTGAATGGTGTCATTTTCATCGATAATGCTTTGTATTTTAAAATGTAAAATTGGCAGTAAAATTTCATCTGCCAAAGATGTTAAAAGATCATCGCTGGATCCATTTTCTTGACTTTGATTATCTTGTGGTGCTTCTTCCATGGTGTTAATTACTGGAATGTATGATAAAAATAGGAATAAAGTTAGATGTAAGGTGAATGTTTTTTTCAAAGCCATTATTTGTTCCTCCAAATGAGTTTTTAACTTTTATTAATTAATACTCGGTATTCATAAAAATAGCAAAAAAGAATTAATGTTTAATGGCGAATAAAAGATTGCGATTAATATAATCTCAATTAAAGTAGATTATATATAACTATTAAATAAAATTTTTTAAAGGAGGCTCCGGTGAAATTAAAAAATGTGTTCTTTATGCTTATTTTGATAAGTTTTTTGCCAATTCTGTCTACTTATAAAAAAGCTAAAGCAAGCAATGAAAACGCATTAGCATATAAACAAGTTTTAAAGGATTTCAATCTAAATAATGATGATATATCATAATTAGATTGGTAGGAGATAATAAAATGAAAAAATTACTATTAATTTTAATATTAAATCTATACTATGCAATGCCTGTATTCGCAGGGTTAAGCAATACTCACTGGAAAGCTATCGCAATTGCAATTGCGGATGATGGTGATGATAACAATCGTGGTGAATTTGAAGCTGCTAAGCAAGCGTTCTTAAATATTAAGCTAGATAAACCCGCAGAAGACGCAGCAGCCGCTATTCAAAGCAAATGGGGTACTCAATTCGGCAAAGAGGCTACAGTTGGGAGCAAAGATGACCAAGGAACCCTTATGTCTTTGCCTCGTTATCCTAAAATGACTGAAAAGGAAGTCCATAACGCAACCGTTGATTTAATTGAAAAACCGTCCATTAT